AAAAAAAAAAAAAAAAAAAAAAAAAAAAAAAAAAAAAAAAAAAAAAACAAAGCCGCCAATTGGCATTCCCGCTCCGTTGCGTCGACGGGCAAAGTTATACCGTTAACCGCTATCAAGCGCGCATTCACAGCCACCGTGGAATATCGAATCGACTCTGCAAACGCGCGGATCATAATCAAACGGGGCCTTTTTTTTGTTTTTTTTTTGTTTCTTAATGTGACGAAACGAGTAAAATTAGGGAAAAAAAAGTGCAGTAACAGTAAGTACTCACCGTTGACCCAATAGGTCTCGGGGTCATCTCCGAATCTGTCGACGATCTTCTCCCACTGCGCCTGCCAAAAGTCACCCGAGGCACCCCAGAACTTTTGCAGATGCCTGTCGATCGGGAAATCGAGAACAGACATTTTAAACGTCGTACGGGCACATATATGCACGCTCAAGTGTAATGTTATTGCCGGTCGCACCGCGGGCAGTCGATGCGCGAGAGCGCGCGAGCGCTTGTGAGGAGAGCCCCGTGTGTCGAAATCGCGGCCAGTCGGTACTGCATACGCGGGTACCCTATACGTGTGTATGTGTGTGCGCGTGTGTTCATGTTTGGTGTATATATACATACATATGTGTGCGCGAGAGTGTATAAAGGAAAAGGAGAGAGAGAGAGAGAGACTGGCTGGACTGACGCGCGTATATATATATAACAATATATTGTAACAAGGGGTGCTCATGGAGAATAGGGGGCACGGTTTGTATGGCTCGCTTACCACGTGAGTGAGTTGCAGAAGGCAGCGAAACCGATGACGATCGTGCCGATCACGAAGAAGACGATCCTCAGGCTCGACAAGAGCTTCGAAGACGAGGACGAGGCCGCGTTGGCGGGACTCTTCGGCCCGTCTTCCCCCGTCTCGCTCGTCACCCTCATATCTCGCCGTCGGCTGAAATTAAATTTCCATGCTTTACAAGCTTTTATATTCTATTGTGTATGTACTTTGATCCGCGTGAACAAAGTGTTGCGAACCATTCGTTGGATGTATCATTTACTGCTGATGATTTTCAATCGTTTAGTAGGCGCATACGCTATTTGATCAGCGATTCTGATGATCGATAGTTCGCGCGTTTCGTAGATCTTCTTTATCGATTGCTTTTTTTTTTTTTTTTTTTTTTGTTCCTGATTATTTCCATTGGTAAATCCGCGCGAAACATAATGTACGAATAATTAAGGGATCGTGCAATCCTGAGTGTGTGCGTGTGTTGATTTGCGCAAAATTACAAAGGTAAGCTTTTTTTTTTTCTCCCCTCGAAATCAACAAGAAAAGTTCGCAAGTATACCGCTCTCGCAATTTTTTCTTCTGTCTCCAGCCAACAATGTTGACTTTTAATTACAATATTTTTTTCTCGTGATTGTTACTATTATATTTCCATGAATTTCGCATCACCTCAATCAAATAAAACTAACAACGTAAGCGCGTCTTTTGTGAAGGAACATCGCGAGAAAAGGTGTAATAAAACGCGTGCGATAAAAAAAAAAAAAAAAGAAAAAAAATGATAAAAACCAGTCTATTCGACATTGCACAACAGCGGCTCTCTCGAATAAAAAAATCCCCCCTCCCAGTTTGGCGTCGCACACGAGCGATGATGCCTCTTTAGCTCCCGTGCGCGCGTCCGAGAGAGTCAAAAGGACGCAATCTCGGCGAGCGATCGCCTTGGCTTTACGCGGGAACGGAAATTCGCAATTGTTACAATTTCCCTGGCTCCCCCCTTTACGCGCACATAACACACATGCATGGATTTACATGTACGTATACGGCAATTATACGCGTGTAAGCCGGCTCACCGGGGTTTCACTCAGATCCGCGTGGGGTATTATGATATTATTTTGCACAGCCCCGGTTGTCTGATATATATATATATATATACACGCGCGTCTCGTTGAAACAACGCAACATACCTATATGTAGGACGATCCAAGAGGTCGCACAATGAGAAAAGTTCCTTATCTTTTGTTTTTGTATATATGCACCATTCGCGTGTACGTGTTTGTACAATCGGATGATGTAGTTTTATTACAATATGCACACGGTTATTGCAAAAAAACGAGACTCATAAAATATAAAAGCTTTTTTTTAACTCGCGTATTTGCTTTTCTTTCTTTTTTTTCTTCTGTTGTAGCGTAGCTGCGTCATACTTTTACAAATGCGGCAAAGAAGAAGAAGAAGAAGAAGAAGAAGGAACTACAATTATGTGAACAGATCGAAGGGTTTGTAACAAAATTGCTTGAAACGAAGGATCGCGCGTATAGTAGCGAAGAGCCTAAGCGATCTACAGCTTTTTTTTTTTTTTTCTTTAATTAACACTGACGACTACGGAGACGACTTTTAGTACATATATAGGTACCGACGAGGGTGTACATAGATGCGCTTTTCATTGTTCGCCTACTCGTACGATATGTGTGTTACAGATCATTCGCTCAACTCGAGTCTTATCTATACAATACCTCTCTGGTACAAGCGTCATTTGAAGGAGCAATTAGTGCATATACGCATACGTATATATGTTCAAGTTATCCACGTACAATATACATATAAATCGACAAAAAAAAATTATATCGTCACACAATAGACTTCAATCTATATGGTCTTCCTTGCTGCTGCAGCTTTTATCTTTATGTGATAGGTAGGTATGTAGTATGCACACGACATATCTATACCCCACGTACAAATGACCATTGAAACGTGCGAATAATATTTGCCCAAGTGGTTGTGGTGGTGATGCCTCTCTCGACTCTCGAGGGACGTTAGCACGCTGCAGCGCGCAAAGAGGATCGTCGCCTTTGTCTCGTCAAGAGAGAGAAAACCACTTGCAGATATATATA